TCCTGACTTAGGTCACTCCTTTTGCATCCCTTGAGCCCCTGATGAATCCCAAATGCTTCCAAAAGCTCCATGTGATGCTCCAATACCTAAAAGGGACTCATGTATGCAAAATGCAACCTAAACATAGCTAAAACCTATTCTACATGATGAAAAGGAATGCAAAAGAGTAGATAAAACAATGCAATAATGCAAGACATCACCTTCCTGATTCTAGCAAAACTTGCAGTCCAAGAGTTGCCATCACGGAAGCAAACACAATGATGCCCTATTAATATCAAGCATTACAAGTTCAGACGCTTGCAAATGCAGAAACACAAAAAAGTAGGTGTAATTACTTGTGATACAAGTAAAAAACTGGTCATTGGTGTATCAGTACACAAAGCAAACAAAGAGTTTACTAGAGAGAAAGATCATACCACTGGTTGCATGCGTCGTTTGCCTATAGGATAATGAAAGTGGTTTGGTTTGCTCATGGCATTAGCTGTAAACCAAAGAATAAAACCAGACAATAGATCCAAGAGAGAGTCCAGAGTTGAAGCAATCACAGCCATGGATCTACTCTCCATAGAGGCATAAACTTTAGCCACAAAAAGCACCAAGTTTGTAGCGTTGGAGATGTGAACAGCCAGTCTCTCACTCTTTGCAAGCTTTTTCATTTCCTCCTATTGACACCAAAAAACAAAAGATTGATAAATGCATTAAAGAAAAAAAGGACTGAAGAGACATAAACCCTAAGAGAGAGAGGTAGAGCCGGACCTCAGTTGGAGCTCCAGATGCAAAACCGGTTCCATGGATAGTCTCCATCTCGTTGAAGCCCTCGAGGAGCCTCTCTTGCTTTTTGTAGTATTCAGAGATTTTACGTTCCTTTTCTGCATTGACACACACACCAGAGGATGCATTGTTAAACTTAAGCCCCTTTTCAAGATGATACAAAGACTTGATTAGTCGTCCTTAATGGTTTTAATTTCCAAATCATTAATTCTGCAATGTGTTAGTTAAAACTTGGTCATAATTGTAATATCATAATAAATCATTTTTTTTTTTAAACGAATCGGATTTAGCATCCACATAATTTAAAAACAAAGAAATCTACAAAAATCCCAAAAACTTGAGATTCTGTAGAAAAGCTTGGTAGCTTTGAATCAACAAAAGAAAAAAAGTTTAATATTCCATTGAATCAATCAAAAGAAAGGGTTTTAATCAGAATACAATTTATAGTTTTATATACGTCAAACAAATTCGGTTAATTCTGAATTTATTTTCTGGACAATTTTAATATCTCACAGATGAGTGTTACAGTTTATATATAAACAAACAAGTAGACATTTTCTTAATTACTTTTGTGTTTAATTCATGCACGTGATTAAGTTCATATAACCACAACTCATCAACACGAAACAGAGACTGAGCGTAAAACTGAAACACGAAGAACATAACTCACTGGGAGTACGGAAACAGCGAGAGAAGCGTGTACGAGTGTCGTGACGGCCAGTGGAAGAAAGGGAAGAAGGAAGTCGAAAAGTCTCGAGGCTGAGACGCCACGAGGATGAAAGCGGCGGTGGAGGAGCATCGTCGTCGCTAGGTAAAAGCTCCACACTGTATTCATCTGCCTTATTGGTTATATGCTCCGTCGCCATTCTTTGGTCACTCTGATTTGCGTTCAAATTTTCAAAAACCAAATACAAAAGAAGAAAGTTGGTTTTTGGGAAGTTGTGAGAGAGAGAGAGAGAGAGAAACAAAGATTTGTTGCGTTGTATATATGAAGAGGGAATATAGGAAGTTGAGTATACGAGTCGCACACAACTATTAAGAAAAAAGAAGTTACTATCAAACAAAATGTCAATTACAGATTTGTTTGTGGTGTTTAATAGTATAGGGTGCTGTTCGTTTGCTCACTCAAGTGATCCATCTGGGTGAAGATGCAAATCAATGTTCGTTTTGTACATTAAAATACTACATCCAGATGGACCACCCAACTGAATTTCTTAAAACTCATCTCAAATTCTCATCCAAATGAGGGTGAGTCTTGATGACGCATCTGGATGCAGATGCATCTAGTTCAGTCCAAAATAATAAATGACAAAAATAACCTTTTAAAATAAATATAATTTTTCAAACCAAAAATACTAAATCTTTTTTGCAATTATATTTTTCCGTTAAAACCAAAAAAATGATTTTTTTCGCCAAAACCATAAAAACTGAAAAATGTATTTTCCACCAAAATTGCAAAAATACACTTTCCCACCAAAACCACAAAATACATATTCCTGCCAAAACCGCAAAAATACATATTCCCGCTAAAACCGCAAAAATACATATTCCCGCTAAAATTGTAAAAATGCATTTTCCCGTCAAAACCGTAAAACGCATTTTCCCGCCAAAACACATTTCCCGCCAAAAACACATAAACACGTTTCCCCACCAAAACTATAAAAACGCATTTTCCTGCTATAACCACAAAAACGCATTTTCATGCCAAAATCGTAAAAATGTGTTTTCCCGCTAAAACCGTAAAAACGCGTTTTCCCGCAAAAACCGCAAAAACATGTTTTCACGTCAAAACCAAAAAAACGTATTTTCCCGCCAAAACTGAAAAACGCATTTTCCCGCAAAAACACGTTTTCCCGTCAAAACCATAAAACGTATTTTCCCGCCAAAACCGTAAAAACGCATTTTCCCGCAAAAAAACACAAAACACGTTTTCCCGTCAAAACCATAAAAACGTATTTTCCCGCCAAAACCGCGAAAACGCATTTTCCCGCAAAAAACGCAAAACACGTTTTTCCGCAAAAAACGCAAAACACGTTTTCCCATCAAAACCATAAAAACGTATTTTCCCGCCAAAACCAAAAAATGCATTTTTCCGCAAAAACCGTAAAAACCCGTTTTCCTGCCAAATTTGAAAAAAATGTTTTCCCGCTAAAACCGTAAAAACAAATTTTTCTGTCAAAATCGTAAATGTTAATTTTTCAACAAAACTGGAAACACACATTTTTCATCAAAATCGTAAAATTCCCACCAAAAATGTAAACACAAATTTATTTTATTCATTTTATTAACAAATTCATTTGGATGCAGATGCGAGTTAAAAACAATCAAACGAACATAGTTACATTAAGATGATTCATCTAGATGTATAGACGAAATAGAGAAACGAACAACATCCAGATACTCCATTTGGATAAGGCATCTGGATGGATCATCTGGATGCATCTTTCAGATGTACAAACGAACATGGCCTAGATAAAAAAAATATTTTCTTCTTAACACAAACATACTTAGTCAAGAAACACTCGTTAGTATTTAGAAACCTACTCTAATTAGAGAAGTTGAGTTGAACTGGTAAAAGGTAACGGGTTATTGCCATAGTGAGGAATGGTATAAAATAATTAGCATGTATAGTATGATATTTTATTTACTTTAAGTTTGTTAAGAAACGCATAATGCTATCCCTTTCTCGATACACGAAACACATTCGTCTTTTGTTATAAAAATGTGCACGTAATGTGATTTTTTCATAAACCAATAGACCGGTCAGTGAAAACACTATTGCTTCAGAGTGGATTAGTTTGAAAGTATAACACCCTGCTTAATCCAAGGGGTGAATTAACCTTTCGTTGTTATCCATCATATTAATCACCTAAACCTAATCCCAAGGTTAGATTGGACAAACAAGGATAATTTAATTTTCATAAAAAACGAATTTAAAACCAACATAGATACACATTGAATTGTAAAAAAATTACCACTAGACTATCACAGCTTAAGTAATGTAAAATTAATCATTACAAAAATTTATGAGATTTATATATATGTCGTTAAGTTGACGAAGCTAGGTGGTCACTGGTGATGCAAAAGGCATGGTCCAAAGAAACCGCACCAAAACTTAAGCTACATTTTCTTCATTTAAAAGAAGAACAAAAAATCAAAAGATTTTTTTGAAACAACCACGTAAAATAAAGAATTTTTGTGGATTATGATAACGACTTTAATTAATTTGAGATCAAAGTGGTTTCCACGATTGCAAAAAGCTTTTGTCCCGTATGCCTTTTGTTAGGTTGCTAGCTCAAACTTTTCTACTTTATGCCAGCATTTTTCTACGAGTGGGTTTCTTTATGTAACATCGTGTTATTAACAAAAAATCCTATAAATCTATAAAGGTCTCTCCCTGCATATATCAATTGTGTCTGCTATTTTTCATGAAAGTGGATGCGATGTCACTTTATCACTTATTTAATCGGTTCGCAGTTAATCAATAAATTCGCTTACTTATTTATCGCATAAACCAAAAACAATACGATGCTAATTATCGTCATAATCTCAGAGCCACATTTTTTTGTACTTATGAATGTTCCACTTTCACTTACGCAATGTTCATATTCGAACCTTAAAAAAAAAGAAGAAAAAACTAGGTACCTTAATGAACTGAACTAGGGATGAGCCTTCAAATACCTGTTTGGATTTGGAGTATTTTGTTTTAGAGGATATAAATATTTTTATATCCGGATTGGATCATTATTAGCGAAACTAGACATCCATTATACAAGGGTCATACATCATAATTATTTTTCATAGCTAAAAAGGTCATTTGAACTCAAGGTCATGCAATAATGTGTTCAAAGTCTATACATGTGTATCCCTTTCAAACAACATATGAGATACTAGGAGCATGGTGCAGCGTGACAATGCTTTATCAGCACATGCACTCGTATTTGTTGAACCTCTAATCATTCTTTTAATGTTTGGATATGAACTGGAACGTAACTTCATTTCCTTGTAGTAACATTATAATGTCTGATAAAACATCAAATCTAAATGTGGCTGTTTTCTGAATGAAAGGGAGCTAGGATGGATATAGAGCGTACAGATTGATTCAGAATATGATCTAATCTAACCAAACCATTTGTTTCTATGTACTCCGGTGTAGTCTATTTGGTTTGGTTATCCGAATATGAAGGACGGTAAGCCTCTTCAACCAATCCAGTTAAAACTCATGACTTTTGCAAACTCACGCATTTGTATAATTGTATTTCGTCAAACTATGCACAGGGAGAGAAGAAAATCAGTTCATTGTCCAAGCTTATATCAAAGGTCCTGAACACGTCGATCTTAAGGCTTCATCATGTCCACTTTGGCTCAAGTTCGAGCGACCTCTGAGTTTCAGTTTGGCTCAAGAGGCAAGAGGTATCAATGTTGATAACCGCACCAATTATGTTTTTTTTTTCTTCTTCTTTTAGATAGAAACCAAAAAAAAAAAATTCTGATACTGATGGTTCTATATAAGGTGAAGATTAAATGATTTAGCTTGGACTCATGTGCTTGTAACTCAATAATATTTCTTTTCTGCTGATTCTTTGTTTTCTCTTTTCATTATTCTCTGTCTAATTATGGTTATAATAAAAACTTAATTAGCTGAATACACCAAAATTATGAGTGGAATGTAAGAAAATAATTTAAAACAGATAATGCACACAATAAAATAAATAATACAAAAATTTGATATGGTTCACTAAATTAGCTAGGTTCACAAATGATTTTTAACTAGTAAAAACGATTTTTTTTCAGATAAAATTTAAAATCATCATATATAGAAAAGTATTCAGGTAATAAAAACCAATGTTAAAAACTAATCGGTGGTAATTGAACATTTTATAAGAGATTATCTATTGTCTTGGTGAGTGCATTGTGATTTAGTGATTGTTTTTTTTTTCAAAGGGAAAAGGGGTAAGTATCAAGTTTGAAATGGAAGATTATTAGCCTTTTCTCAAACTTTTAAGAACAAACAAAACTTTCAACAAAACATCAAACAGTTGGTTTAATAAAATGATCTCAATAAACTTCTATAGACCAATTTTAAATTCCGGTTTAGTATCCAGGTTTAGCTAAACCGGATTTAAACACCCCTAGTTTACACGTCTATAAATACCTCCAAAAAACAATCTAATCGGCGGCTAACGTATCTCGTCCACTGTTATTAATCTCCGGCGATAAACTCTCCTCAAAGCTCTTAACTTTTTCATCTAATCCAACGAGAATGGAGGAACCCACGTCGGAGAATGAAGGTGGAATCACAATCATGGCCAAACCTCGCAAAAACCCCAAAACCCTAAACCCCCAAAACCCTAACCCCCAAAAACTCGACTCCACTCCTCAATTCGAGAAATTCACAAGCTCCGACTCCACCTCCGCCTCCAACTTCGAATCCCTCGGACTATCCCCCTGGGCATCCGAGACCTGCAAGGAGCTAGGCATGCGTAAACCCACTCCAGTCCAAACCCACTGCATCCCCAAGATCCTATCGGGACGAGACGTCTTGGGGCTCGCGCAAACAGGTAGCGGCAAAACGGCGGCGTTTGCGTTGCCGATACTTAACCGTCTCGCTGAAGATCCTTACGGAGTGTTTGCGCTCGTGGTGACGCCGACGAGAGAGCTGGCGTTTCAGTTGGCTGAGCAGTTTAAGGCGTTGGGTTCTTGTTTGAATCTGCGTTGTTCGGTGATTGTGGGAGGGATGGATATGTTGACGCAGACGAGGAGTTTGATTTCGAGGCCGCATGTTGTGGTTACTACTCCTGGGAGGATTAAGGTTTTGCTTGAGAATAATCCTGATGTTCCTCCTGTCTTCTCTAGAACTAAGGTAATATTAAAAAAGTATTTAACTTTTCTTACTTCAATCAAACTTTGAGCTATGAAAGTTACAGCTTTTAGTGTTTTTTGTTAACTTTGGGCTATGAAAGTTATCCGTCTAGTGTTTTTTGTTAACCTTGATCTATGAAAATTGCAGCCTTTAGTGTTTTTTGTTATCTTTTAGCTATGAAAGTTGCAGCCATTAGAGTTTTGTGTGTGTTTTTGTTATGAAAGTTGCAGCCTTTAGTGTTTGTGTTAACCTTAAGTTATGAAAGTGGCAGCCTTTAGTGGCTTTGTGTGTGTGTTTTTAACTTTGAGCTATGAAAGTTGTAGCCTTTGGTGTTTTTGTGTGTGTTTTGTTAACTTTGAGCTATAAAAGTTGCGGCCTTTGTGTGTGTTTTGTTAACTTTGAGCTATGAAAGTTACAGTCTTTAGTGTTTTGTTAACTTTGACTTTGAGCTATGAAAGCTATGAAAGTGGCAGCCTTTAGTGTTTTGTTTGTGTTTTGTTAATTTTGACTTTAAGCTATGAAAGTTGCAGCCTTTAGTGTTTTGTTAATTTTGACTTTAAGCTATGAAAGTTGCAGCCTTTAGTGTTTTGTTAACTTTGAGCTATGAAAGTTGAAGCCTTAAGTGTTTTTGTTTGTGTTTGTTTGATTAGTTCTTAGTGCTGGATGAGGCGGATAGAGTTCTTGACGTTGGTTTCCAAGACGAGTTGCGTACTATCTTTAACTGTCTACCAAAAGACAGACAGACGTTGTTGTTCTCCGCGACGATGACAAGTAACTTGCAGACTTTGCTTGAGCATTCTTCAAACAAAGCTTATTTCTATGAAGCCTATGAAGGGTTAAAGACCGTTGATACGCTTAAGCAGCAGTACATTTTTATAGACAAAGATGCGAAAGAGCTTTATCTTGTGCACATTTTGTCGCAAATGGAAGACAAGGAGATTCGATCAGCCATGATTTTTGTCTCCACTTGCAGGTTTCATTTCCATAGCTATACCAGTTCACTCTTTTGGTTTGTGATTCCATTTTCAGTTTCTGATTAGATGTGGTTTGTGTTTTAGAACATGTCAAAGGTTGAGTCTTATGCTTGAAGAGCTAGAAGTGGAGAATGCAGCTTTGCATTCACTGAACTCTCAGTCTTTGCGACTCTCTGCACTAAGCAAATTCAAGTCCGGGAAAGTACCGATATTGCTTGCTACTGATGTTGCCAGCCGTGGTTTGGACATTCCTACTGTTGACCTTGTAATCAATTATGACATTCCCAGGTACCTTTTGTTGAAGAATTTGTTTTTCTTTTTTCGTTCTATTCATTGTGCTTTGAAAGTTTCTGATATTACGTTTGGCTCGCATCAGATTTCCGAGGGATTATGTTCATCGTGTTGGGCGTACAGCTAGAGCTGGTAGAGGAGGGCTGGCTGTAAGCATTATCACTGAGGTATAGCTGGAAACCATGGAATTACACGAACATAGTCTCTTAGTTTCATTACCTTAATCTTTAAATTTCCTTTTTGCAGACCGATGTGAACCTTATCCATGAAATAGAAGCGGAAGTTGGAAAACAGATGGAACTGTACAACTACAGAGAAATCACTGACAGTGTAGAGGTCACAAAGGTAAGATACGCTCTGTGATTCATTAAAAGTTCTAGTCTTATGTAGCTTAGTCTTATACCAGCATACCAGCTGATTCACCATGGTGCTCTAGTATTAGGTTTTAGTTCATCTTGGTATAAGGCATTTTAACTTCAAGCAAAGGCGTTAGTCTTACGCAAGTTTCTAAATCTCTATCTGCAGGTTTCAAAAGCTAAAAGGGTGGCAATGATGAAGATGCTTGACGATGGATTCGAAGACAAGGTTAAAGACCGGAGGAAACTGAAACGTAAAACACTTGCGGATAAAGGGATGCTTAAGAAACGGAGCAAATCGAGAAAATCCGCAGAAAAAAACTGATGACTAAAGTCATCTTCAAATTTTGTTCTCTTAAGTGCATGTTGATCAACAATTCTGAGAATCAATGTCTATTAATGTTCTTATTGTGTCTTTGAATGTAAGATTGTTTGCATTCTCAAAGCTTCTGGTAAGAAACATTCTTATGTATTAGTCACAAGTTCTTTTCCGCATTAGTAATAACAATACCATGAAAGTACTAATGATGAAGTGCATTTCTTATGTATCATTCACATTAGTATCTGATGAACAACTTCGACTGTTGATACAACGCCTCGAACCAATTTTATTACTTTAACTTGTTTCTGGTTTTGGTAAAAAAAAAGGGAAAGGAGAAAAAGGTCAACAAATATCTCCCTCCTAACCCAAACATTTAGAGCATCTTCAATGTAAAACTCCATTTTTTCTTCTAAAATGGAATAAAAGAGAATATGGAGTAAAAATGCTTCAACCTTACTGCATTTCCACTCCATAATGGAGTGATGAACAAACAAAAAACAAGTGATGAACAAATAAAAAACAGATTACTCCATTTATGGAGTAAACTCTATTATGGAATGGAATAAAGTTGGAGTGTTTTCTATAACAAAAACTCTATTATGGAGTAAACTCTATTATGGAGTGAAAGAGTCTGAGAAAACCTATAAAGAAGTAAGAGACTGTTTTACTTTGAAGCCTTATTGTGAGCTGGTGGTTTGGATTGGTTGGAAGTTGCAGTTGTTGACATCACACGTAAACAACCAGCTATCTCCGTGAAGGATGGCATTGCCGTTGGAATAGGCGCCCAACATTCCTCCATTAGTATTCTCCAGTCTGAGTCACAGTAACTTGGTATGGTTGTACGAATTATGAAGTGTCTTCTTGCTAGGGTTGAGACTTAATTTCCGCTATCTGATGTGGGATCCGTTCTGAAAAAGCGGATATCCGGAGGTTTGGATCCAGATAGTAATTTTACGGATCTGATGAATCTGGATAGTGGATTTTTTAATCTGGATATACGGATCCGGATTCGAACCCACTAAATATTTTTAAAATATTTAAACTATAATTGTATTTATATAGGTATATTATATATTTTTATTAAAAATAACTAAAATTTAATTTTATTATTAATTTATATTACTTTATTTTAAATTTTTGCAAATAATAATTTTCAATAGAATAAATAATACTTAATTTTTAATTTAATTTGATTTTTTAATTTTTTTAATAAAAAACAAATCCATCCGTGGGTATCTGGACCCTGTATATCCAGAAGGTCCGAATCTGATTCGGATAGCAATTTGACAGATCCGCCAGATATCATAAAATATCTGATCCGTCCCGCCCCTACTTCTTGTTACGAACAAAAACGGCAGTACGATTTTTAAGGTTTTAATGTTTGATAATTTGGTAATAAAAAAAATTATTTTGATTGGACGTACGTGGGAATAGATTTGATCGTGTTTGCTTGCACCAACCGCTTCCTTTCTTTTGACGGTTCTCCCTTCAATTCTGATGGAATTGGGTTGCATGCAAGAGTAGAAAACGTTTAAAAAAGTACAACCAAACAAAGAGTTCAAATACTACATAATGGAAAAGAAACCAGAGACAAACATTTTTTGAAATCTGTTTCCGGATAATTCAGTACACACACATTTGAGAGATTCAGGCATTTTAGCACTATAGCTCCTGAACTGAGCTGAAGTACCTTGCCGGAAAGTCCACTCGTTGCCTGCGACGTTTGTTGGTAAAGAATTCAATGGAACACCATAACAATAAAGTTCCAGTAATCACTGGGTATGCGTACCACACGAGTGCCACTGCGATATCCCCCAACGCTCCATCTGAACTCGGGAATGTAGATCTGAACGAAGCATAGTTAGCCATTCCGAGAGCCGCTGTGGAACCGTATATGACCTTCCACATGGGAAGTCCAGTTATGAGGATCATTAAGAAGAAGGCAATTCCGTTGCAGATATATATAAAACATTGAAGCAAGTCCAAAAGACATATTGTCATCTGACCAGCTGTGTGACTATCGTTATCGGAGTCAGTAGAGTTCTCTTGCCAATAACCGCCAGGAGGAATAAGACCGGCCTGGTATGTGGCTGTTACTATCAATACAGCCACCACTAGAATCGCATTACGGAAATCGCTTGATTCTTGAGACCCTTGTCTGGTCTTGCCCAAATTGTTCACCCCTAAGAGCTTATTTCCCCGCTCAATGGCCGATGGTTTTCTGCTTAAATATCCCGCAAGAGTCATCGTGGGACCCCTAAGAGCACTGCGGAGAAGCCTAGCTGCTCTGGTGAAAATAGAAGACGTTTGAGTTTGGAGTAGGTCCATTGCGGTAAGACCGTCCAAGTTCTTGGCTTCTACGTTAACGGTTCTACGTAGCAACTTCATTACCTGAAAATCCAAGGCATGATCTATCTCCTATTAGAACCTCACGTTGATTACAAAATCAGACATTGTAAGCTCGCAGATGACACCACAGTTCCGAAGAGACTAGCTAGGAAGAAGATAACTGACAGTTCCAGCCGAGCCAAATATAGTTTGCATGTTATGGGAGCAAGATCAGATCATAACCAATTTTCATAGAGTAAAAGAAAATATCTAATGACCATTTTTTTAAGCAGGTTCCTATCATATTGTATAAAAATAAGATACACTAAAATGATCAGAGAGACATCTACCTCAATTTGATTCATGGATGCAGCAATATGAAAGACTGTGTTTCCATCTTCATCTTTCCAGTCCAAGATTTCCTCTCTGTTCACTCTCCGAAGCCATCCTAAAAGAACCTTAAATGCCATAAACTGGCGGCTCCTCAAGGCAATGTGCACAGCCGTCTCGCACTTAATCGTCACATCTTCTACAGAAGATGGGCAAGCAAACAAGAATTCACTCAACAACTCTTCATTACCTAACTGAGCCACATAATGCAAAGGAGTAATCCTTCCTCTTCCCTTGATGCTGACTAAGCTGCTGTCAATTGCCAAAAACCCTCTCACTATTTGGATATGCTTCTTTTGCAGGGCTAAGTGCATCGGGCTAAAACCTGAGACGTTTAGCTTTAACGCAAGTGACGGCTTAATTAGGGTCATTAACTCCATGGCGAAATGAGTTCTCCCATTTTTGGCTGCAATGTGTAATGGCGTCTCACAAAAAGACACATTGTCATTAGGGCCGGCCCTGAGATTTTGGGGGCCTGTGGCGATTTCTAAGTAAAAAAATTTTTTGGGGGCCTAAAAATTTTTTTTGAGGCCTATGCTCATGTAATTTTCTACAAAATTTTTGGGGGCCTGAAACAAATGTTTCACTAGGCATTGCCCAGGGCCGGCCCTGGACTCATAGTGTTCCAAAATATTTGGATATTCTTCTATCAACTCGTAGAGTTTCCCAATATCCCCATCTTGGGCCACCATTTTGAGTCTCTCATAGATGAATACACTTTGAGCCGCCATAACTCTGTTCAAACTCGTTTCTGCCTCTGGAGTTTTTTTTTTTGCTTTGGCTCATGCAACTAAAGGCTTAAGTACAAAACACAAAGTCTCCGTTAAGTCAACTCCGTTAAGTCATCTCCGTTAAGTCATCTCCGCTAAGTCAACTCCGTTAAGTCAACTCCGTTGTATGAGGACCGTAAATGGTCTTTATTTTCCAGCCACTCATTTGCCATATAATATCTACTACTCGGCATATCTTATTCTTTGGTCTTTCATCGTATTTTAGCACATTGTACGTATATGGTATATTAAGTTATTTCCCACTACAGTCACTTGAGTCTTTGAAACTATCGACCTAGAATCGCCAAGAGAATGTCTTACTACTTAAAAATGGAAAAAAATATATAGGAAAGAAGCAAGCTAGAGACTATTTTTCGAAAGGTAAAACCCTTGCGGATAAAGGGATGAAAACGGAACATAACGAGAGAAAACTGATGACTACAATCATCTTCGAATTTTGTTCTCTTATAGCAAATCTCTGAGAACTGATGTCTATTAATTTTCCTACTTTTAATCTTTGAATCAAATCTTCTGGTAAGAAACATTCATAAGTATCACTCACAAGTTCTTTTCCACATTAGTAAGAAGAACAATACCATGAGATTAAACAACTTCGACTGTTGATACAACGCCTCGAACCAATTTTATTACTTTAACATGTTTCTGGTTTTCGTAAAAGAAAAGGGAAAGGAGAAAAGGGTCAACAAATATCTCCCTCCTGACCCAAACACTTAGAAAGAGTCTGAGAAAACCTATAACGAAGTAAGAGACTTTTTTACTTTGAAGCCTTATTGTGAGCTGGTGGTTTGGATTGGTTGGAAGTTGCAGCTGTTGACATCACACGTAAACGACCAGCTATCTCCGTGAAGGATGGCCTTGCTGTTGGAATAGGCGCCCAACATTCCTCCATTAGTATTCTCCAGTCTGAGTCACAGTAACTTGGTATGGTCGGCCTCAGTGTGTTGTTCACTATCCCACCTGCACTTGACCGGTAAATTTCATGAGTTGTTAAGACACAGTCATGTCCAAGACAAATAAGCTAACCAGACAAAATGCACTGATACGTTTCATTTCTTCCGAACCACAACTCATTTTCTTTCAAAATCAGCCAAAACAAAACTCAAACCGAACCAAAAGGTTACTATTATCAAAATGGTGATCAGTTTCTATATCAAACCAAGGGTAATAGGTCGACAAACACGCACCTATTATAGCACCATAGTGCATATTAGCATATGGTTCCTCTCCGGTTAGAATCTCCCACAAGACTATACCAAAAGAGAAGACATCCACCTGCAGGTAAAGAAGTAATAATTCAGAACAGTTTCATTTCAATTATTTTTATTCACGAATGGAACATTTTATTTTGTTTACCTTCTCTGAAACTTTGCTGCTGCTGCCGTTTAAAAGCTCTGGTGCCATCCATGGAAGGGTTCCACGTACACCACCAGATACCAACGTATTTCTTTTAATTTTCGACAAGCCGAAATCACCAACCTTGAGGAAGAACATACGAGTGATAAGTTTTAAAGCACAAATCAAACTTTGGTCAAAGACATCATATAAATAAAGTTTTTACCTTGCAGATTGGGCGAGAAGGATCTTTGAGGTTCACAAGTAAGTTGTCACATTTCAAATCGAAGTGAACAATGTTCTTGGCGTGCAAATATTCCATTCCAAATGCAGCGTCCATGGCAATGATTAGTCTCTTACGACGATCAAGGTGTCTGGAAACATAAGAATGAAAAGCAAAGAATCTTTAACCGTTTGCCAGATAAGAAAAGGCAGAGACGTTATAAGAGAGAGATATGTACCTATCTTTCTTGATTAGAACATGTCTTAGAGAACCATCAACCATGTACTCTGTTACAGTAGCCAACGTTCCACCTGGGCCATCTTTCACAACACCATAAAATGCAACCACATTTGGATGATGAAGCTTTGAAAGGATTCCAGCTTCTCCCCAGAATTCACCAGTCTAGGAAACAGTAAACAGTGATTAATTCATAAGCATCTACGGACAACCAATGTTACAAGTCTTATCAATGCAGAGACACTCACTAATCTCTCTTGTTCAGATGATCGACCAGCAAAGCAACTCTTCTTTATCCTCTTGATGGCAACATCTGAACCTCTCCATTTCCCATGATACACTGTACCAAACGTGCCTGAACCAAGTTCCTTTAGCTCCTCCAGATCATCATTCATAATGATCTACAAACGATTAAGGACAAAAAAAACAGAACAAAAGGTTAGAACCAGATAATTAACTTTTAAAATGACAAACAGAAGAATTTGATGTTTGATTCTTCTAACATGTCTGCAAACTTCCTAAACACTAACGCAGATCCTTTATTCAAATGAAAAATAAGAAAAAGTTCTACCAGGTCTAAGATTTTAAAGTCCATCATACCTGTAAGTCTGTATCGTAATCTGCCAAAGAAGAACCAGCATTCCTTGTTTCTGTCTTTTCATCCTACAAGTGTTCATCTTTCATTAGTACATTCTCGTTTTGGAATCAAGATATAAAATCTGGAGGAAACTATACCTCTGGCGTCCTTAGATTCTCAACCATAGCACCAAACTCCTCGCTCTCTGTGACCTTCATCTGTGCATCCTCCTTAGTGTCAGCAACATAAGCTTGACCTAAATTCTGCTGAGGATCAACACGGTTCTCTGCTGAAATGCCATCTTTGGTCAACCGAGCGACGTGATGCAACTTGGTAATGCCTCCGCTATCTTCCATGTCAGATGGAAAGCCAGGGGGGAGATCTCTTTCACTAAACTGATCCTCAGCTAGTTTCCGGAAATAAGACCAATTCTTAGGATCATGATTCTCTACATTCAAACTAACACCGGCACCATCATGCTGATATTCATTGACCCCTCCTGGTGGCACGTCTTCAGAGAGTGCCTTTGCAAACATTTCAGAAAGGAAGTCCTGAGGAAACCGATCATTGATGTCGATAACAACACCTGAGCAAGCTTGATCTTCAGGGATAACATGACTGGGAGCTTCAGCCTCAATACCTCCACCATTAACCACTTTGTTCTTCTTGGCAGCTTCAGGGTTTAAAACCTTTTGCTCATTTGATGCCCCAAATTTTTCAGAGATCTTTTCATTAACAATATGGGAATCTTCATGTGCTTTACCCTCTCCTTGTTTTGCAGGATCTTGCTGCCCAGTGTTAGCTTGTGTATGAGACATTAAGAACTGAGAGCCTATAGAGTCATCAGACTTTGACAGGCGGTTTAGCATTTCTAACTGCTCACGAGGTATCCTCTCAGAACGGTATACTCTCCGTGTGGGTGGTGGTAAAGGTTCCGAGTAATCAAGATCGATTAAATTTGACTCAGAGTCAGTTTGAGCAAGACCACTTGATGTAGAAAGCTGATCATCTTCACTAGATACAGGAACCTGCTCACGAACAACAGCATCACGGTAAGTAGAAGGCTTCACAGGAGTGTTCTGTCGTGGGTCTCTTCTTGGGGGCAACATATGGTTAGAAGCATCCTGGCTAGGAACAGTTGGAGAAACTGATGGCTCCGGAACCTCGACATTATCAGCTTGAGGAGGATTCTGGCGTAGTTCAGGCTCTATATTTTCACGAACTTTCATCTCAGGTTTTATGTTCAGCTCTCTTCCCTGCACTGCTGCTGCGTTTTGCTGTATGACACTAGGATGAGCGTATGGCTGTCCTTGGTAAGGTATAGGGATAGAGTAATTGGAACTGTGTTCATGATGCATTGGAAACTGTTGTCTTTCTTCATAATATTGTGGGTACATTCCATATGAGCTAGGGGAAACTGATGGTGGATACTGGAGAGTGGAGCCTGGTGGAATAGACTGAGCATACTGAAGAGAGGGACTCGGCGGAATGGACTGAGCATACTGAAGTGTAGAACTCGGCGGAACAGCTTGCTGAAACTGAAATGCACCATTGTGTGGGATTGATTGAGGATACTGTAGCAAAGAGCCTTGTGGCGCAGCGTCAGAATACTGCATAGAGGATTGTAACTGCGAAGGGGCAACACCGTTGATTCCCTCGGGGCTCCTAACATCCAGCTCAGCTAAATTGTTTCCAGAGAAGCTGTCAAATCCATTAAGAGTCGAGTTGCTTCTTGATCCAATGTCCATATCATTAACAGCTACAACATACTGAAACTCAGAGTCAACATCATTTTGCTTAACCCCCAAAAGAGAACCATCCAAATCACTGACAGAGAACAGAAACATTCTAAGCTTCTGCGAACCGCCACGGTTCTCCATCTCATTATACTCCTCCATCATGTTCTGCAGATCTTCATCACACGTTACAGACACCAAGGCGTCAAGATCTTCACCAGGAAGCTGATACTTGACAACATGAGTCCGGTAGTAGATTTCAAGAACTTTTGCCCTGAGCTCCTGCCAAGATATGTCTCTTCTTATGGATATAATGTGCGTTTCACCTCCAACGTATCTAAGCTTTGAATCCCCTGGACGTGGGAGTATTTTCCCACCAAAGCTACAAAGGACTTTAACCTTTGCTGTTAAACTACCTGAGGCTGAAGAGGATGCAAATCCATGAAAATTGCCTAAACTTGTATCTTGACATAAGGAAGCTTCTGGCGCTGACTGGATATGCCCAAGTTTATTACCAAACTCATGAAGAGGAAAGTTTGTTCTCTCATACTCTCTCACCCCATTTCCCACCATGTCAGCAGTTGCATTGGGGTTTGTAGATCTCTGAGAAACCACTCTATCTCTCAGAAACTCAAGAGAGAACTCCTCTCCTGTTTGTATTGAGTAATGAAGCCCTGGCTTAACATCTGAACTATTGGTAGGCCGGGCATTTGCAGTCATGCCGCCTGTCTGATCAGGCGTAAATGCTTGAGGTTGAGGGACAGAGTCATTCACATAACCAGGTTCCATAGGGTGTTGTTGAAACGGATGCTGTGGCCTGTTTCTATCCATCACAACAACAAATTATTCTACTTGCAAAAAGAATCTTGCATACTTGACTATAACGAACACACCAAAACTACTGAGATGCCAAATTGCTTCAGAGACAGCAGAACCTTGAAATGATAATCTGCAATGAAGACATCTAATGTAAGTTTAGAGCTTTGAATCCTCTTAAATAATTCAAGAAAATAGCATCAAACAGATTCAACTGTGGATGAATAATTAGACAAGAAAACTCCAAAACCATGCCTTTTAAATCTAAAAATGGAAACTTTTCATCTATTTATTAATCCAAAACCTCAAACAGAAAAACCCATATGCCATTAGTAATTAACAAAACCATAGCTCTCGATTCAAGAAGATAAAAAGGCAAAAGCTTTCAGAAAGAAAAAAGAAAAAAATAAAGAAAAGAAATGAAAGAAGAAGACAACCAAGAAAAGAAATGTAGAGCTTTGACCTGAGCGGTGAGGAAGCTTAAGAAAGATTATGATATCTTAGCTACAGTACAAAACATCTTCTCTTTGCTCAAATCTCAGGATAATACATCAAGAACAAGAACCCTAACGTCTTTCTTCTTCTTCTTTCGTTTTCTCTCACTTAGCTTTCCTCGTTTCTTACTCAAAGAAAAGGGAAATAATCCTTATAAAAATTACCAAATGGTCAGACTTTTTTGTAATGAGAATGGAAAATATTTAGTGTTAAGATTTAACTTAACTTCCGTCTGACTCGGTTTTTTAATAACCAGAAGAAATGTGAAACCGTACATCTTTCGAAAGATGGGAAAAATGGACGGTTAGGATGATGGAATAAGATCGGTGGAGTATGGAATCAAGTTGAGTCAGTCCCGTAGCTTATGTTATACGGTTTTTGCATTAAATGGGACTCTCCATTTCATCAGATCCTAAACTTAATACCCAACGTGGCCATACCTTTTTTTTTTATATTTCATTTTCGTTATTAATACTCTCTCTCTTTGATTGTCTCAAGTAATGTTTTTTCTTTCCTTTATAACTGTCAATGTACAGTTTTATAAAGATTAATTAATATGTATTTCATATTAATATATACTAGTTTATTGTTTAGAAAATGCCAATAATAATGATTATAGATACTTCCTCCATCTCAATTTAATTATCTTTTAGGTTTTTACCCACAGAATTTTATATATTTTCGAGATAAAACATAATTACATATATATCTAACCATTTTTTAATTAATAAAAAAATAAAATAACATATAAAATTAATAAATTTTGTACTAAAATTATAAAACAAAATTTTACTCTACAACAACAAGTAAATTGAAACGGGGAAATTATTTAACCAAATTAGAATCAGGGAGTTATCTCAAACTCTAAATCCAGCTTCAGTAATTTCAATAATAATAATAAGTCTACATTGTATCTGCCATAACCATGACTTGCAACTTGTAACTTGTAAGCTTGTAGCCTAACAGATTAGTTCTGGGTTAACTCTCAAGTGTAAGCCCATTGGGCCTACAAATCGTGTGAGCCCTGAATGTGCTGCGGCGTCGCTTTGCAAGTAGAAACGTGGAAGTCAACGAAGTACTACTACGAAAAGGAAGCTGAGCATCTTCTTCGTCTGTGGTGGTGATGAAGCCAACAGCTTGGCTCATTCATAATGAATGTTATTATCCTATTTTATTTCCATTATATATGTATGGAGCTGAACGCACTGCTAGAATATCATAGGCTAAATTCATACAAGTCAAAGTCTTCGTTGATATATAATCATGCAGCAAAATAAAATGAAATTGTTTGAATCTTTGGCTTATCTTCTGCTATGGAGCCCACTGCGGTTCACACGGTTCAAAGTCTTCGTTATGTAACTATAATGGGAAAAGAAGAGCAAGTGAAATAAAGCATAAGAGAAAGCACTAGTTTCTTTGCTTGTGTGTGTGAGAGAGAGAATGGATTGTGATCTGAAACGTTTCTTTGTTGCATTGTTTCTGTTTCAAATCCATGGATACATAGTTGCTTCTTTTTACCCTGACGATTTCCCTGTTGCGTTACCTAATTGCTTAGACCGGTGCTATCGTTCTCCTCTTTCTCGTGTTCCTTACCCTTTTGGGATAGGCAAAGGTTGTTACAAGAACAAGTGGTTCGAAGTTGTCTGCAACCACTCATCATTCCCCTCTTTTCCTTTCCTCCCAAGCCTCGGATTAGAAGTCACTTCGTTTTCCCTTATAAATGACTTAGACTATCATTCTTACAGGAGCAACAGGTTTCAGATTAATAGTCCAGCAAAGACTTCAGGGTGTTCCTATGGAGGAGAAGAGAAGTCATCCTTGAATCTAACGGGCACTCCATTCTTCATATCAGACAATAACAAGTTCACAGCTAAGGGATGTAACATCAAAGCCATGATGGTAAGCACAGGGCCACAGATTGTTGGATGTGAGGCCAGATGTGGGAAAGAGAGTCGGTATTACAAAGATGCTGACAAGAGCTGTGTCGGATATCAATGCTGCCAGACCAAAATACCGCCTGGTCTTCAAGTGTTTGATTCAACTGTGGAGAAACTGCAACCTGGTGGTAAAAACGAATGTCAGACTGCTTTTTTGTCAAGTGATCCAATTTTTACACGGGTCATGGATCTGGAATGGCGTCTTGAAGTTCCCCCGCCCATGTTCCCTCCAGAGAATATGCATTGCGAGATAAGTACAAGCGTAATTCGCACAGATGATAAATATAAGTATCAATGCAGCTGCAAACCTGGTTATGAAGGAAACCCTTATTTACCTGGTGGATGTCCAGGTATGTATAAGCTTCCTTCACACTTTGGATATAGAGCTTGTGTGTATAGTTTCTCACTTTTGTTTTGTTTTTGTCCATAGACGTTGATGAGTGCAAATTTCTATATAAAGTGTGTGGAAAGCACAAGTGTGTGAATGTGCCTGGATCATTCAGATGTGAAAAAACATGGCCAGTCATTCTAGGCAAGTTATTATAACTTATGTTTTTAAAAAACTTCTGGACTGAAACTGAATAGATAAACTTACAATGCTCTAAGGGTTCTTCTGCAGGTGGAACTCTAAGCGGTGGATTGTTGTTTTTAGTCCTTGGAACATGGTGGCTATGCAAGGTTAATAAAAAGGAGGAAGCAGATAGGCAGAAGATAAAGTTCTTCAAACGAAATGGAGGTTTGTTATTAGAACAACAAACATTCTCCCATCAAGGCAGTGTCAACAAAACCAAAGTGTTCAGCTCCAATGACCTGGACAAGGCAACTGACAAATTCAATGCAAGTAGAATACTAGGGCAAGGCGGCCAAGGTACAGTTTACAAAGGGATGTTGGAAGATGGGATGATCGTTGCTGTCAAAAAGTCCAAAGCATTGGAAGAAGAGAATCTTGAAGAGTTCATCAACGAGATCATTCTTCTCTCTCAGATCAACCACAGAAACGTTGTCAGGATCTTAGGATGTTGTCTTGAGACAGAGGTGCCTATGTTGGTGTATGAGTTCATTCCCAACAGAAGCCTTTTTGATCATCTCCAAAACCCATCAGAAGACTTCCCAATGACTTGGAGAGTACGTCTCTGCGTCGCCTGGGAAGTAGCTGATGCACTATCCTACCTGCATTCAGCAGCCTCTGTTCCAATTTATCATAGAGATGTCAAGTCAACAAATATCTTGTTGGATGAGAAGCACCGTGCAAAAGTATCGGACTTCGGGATCTCGAGGTCTGTTGCTATAGATGATACTCACCTGACGACGATAGTGCAAGGAACAGTTGGGTATGTAGACCCGGAGTACCTCCAGTCAAGCCACTTCACTGAGAAGAGTGATGTCTACAGCTTTGGGGTTGTGCTCATTGAGCTCATAACTGGAGGAAAACCTGTCTCTTTTCTGAGGCCACAAGAAGTAAGGATGTTGGGAGCTTACTTCCTCGAAGCCATGAGGAATGATAAACTTCATGAGATTGTTGATGCGCGCATCAAGGAGGAGTATGATCAAGAGGAAGTCCTTGTAGTAGCTAAACTTGCGAGAAGGTGTTTGAGCTTGAACTCAGAGCATCGCCCTACTATGAGAGAAGTTTTTATCGAACTGGATAGGATGCAATCCAAGAGAAAAGGGGCTCAAAGCCAAGATGAATATAGCGACGAGCACACACACATCGAGATCGCAATACCGGAGTCTATGTCACTCAGTTACTCTTCTCCTTATCCACTCGAGGAAAACAGCTCATTCTCACCGGACTCAAAACCACTCATGACTCACAACACACAGTGAGTAGAAAAGCAAAACTCTTCAATGCACTAATGATGTGCAATCAAACCTTCAAGGTCTTATTACTTGTGTGAACCATTTGTATAACTCTTTCATTTTATCTTTCACGTGTTTGGTATATACACATGATTTTACCCGGAACATAAATGCATTATATGTTGAAATCTCTGTTGTCTGCGCTGAGTATTACACTATAAGCTTCCACTTTGATAGAGACGAAGGACCTCACTCAGGCAGGACATTCCATGATATTAGCCAGCTACAAGACAAAGAAGAATTATCAAAGAGTGTTAATACCTTTGTAGAAATATATGCTACCATAATAGACTACAAAGTAGATGTCTATAAATAAAGGTGAAATGCTACTGTGAAAAGATTCTATCACCTTGGTTAGGGAGGAGAAATGATACACAACCAGTGATGGATCCACCGGCTGGAAAGCACATAGGTTTGGTCTCTCTCCAATTCAGAGGCCTATCTAAAGGGTTACATACCCTCACAACGAGCAATCTCACAATGTCAAATCTCTCTACCCCTGATTCTTCCTATTTAAGGACCTTGCCTCCTATAAACAGAGAGCTCATCCCTTAGAGCTGCAAACCCATATCCAAAGCTCTCCAACTCTCTCGAATGGTCAGGACGAACAACAGAAGGAACTGACCCAACATTATACCATTCTCCTTCATATGTATCCTTAGTCTTGATCAAGCTCTCTCCCCAATCTACAATCGTGTATACTCAGTCATTTTTCATCACCTGAACAGCAAACTGCAAGGTTCTAGAGAAAGGCCAGATATCCTCCACTGTGGACCAGCTCATAGTAGATGGATTAAATACTTACAGATGAATTTTGCTCTGCAAATCCAACCTGATCACTCAGAACATGAAAGGATCCTCTGTATGATAACCCCGAGAAGTCCATATGTGGTTTAGGCATTGCTGGCAATTCCTCCCACCTACAATACTGCTATGTCAAACACTAGTTTGATAGTTTCTCTACTTAAATCTAAGAAACCTTTAAAGATGTATACCTTGCTTATCATATACAAAAGTAAAAAGATTGTATCATGGGGGTTCTTTATGCCAATTATATCACTTCATTATATATTTCAGTGTTTTAAAACTCGGTGTCGACCAATTTTTTAAAAAACTTGGGAAGATAGACTGTTTGGATTCCCCGAAAGCAAGTGTAACACAACGGTTTTGGATCAAGGAGATAAAAGGTAAAGGATCTAACTTTAACGTTGTGTGAGAGTAATTAGAGAGATAACTTACATGGTTTAAGCACACTCGGAGCGCAAACCCAGATTCTGAATAACGAAACGAAGACCAGTGAGAGATTTATTACAATGGGTTTTAAAAAGTTCCATAAATTACTTTATTTGGTCCTTCACTTCTATATTCTTTTCTATTTGTAACCACCTACTTTCATGAATAAATTATTAATCCTAACATTCAACAAGAATTAAACGCCGTCGTTTAATCCCCGCTTTAATAAAACTGCGTCGTTTAATCTCTGGTCTGAGAGATATCTTTTCTTCCTCCGTTTCACGGTGTTTCGGCGCGCCGATACATTACATGTTACAATCTCCGTAAAAAAGTTCGAAAGTTCCAGAAAAAAAATTTGGTAAGCAATTAGTCCCTCTCAATTTATGTCTCTGAATTTCTCACATATTACCTGATCATATTGTGATCTATGCGGCTGTTCATGGTCGTCTGATTGAAAAGTTAATTCCAGCCAAAAGGCTGCGTTTTTATTCGTTTTCTCTAGATAAAAATCCATACTTGGAACTTTTTGATGTTGTTGCTTATAAGCTAGTTTGATCTCTTTATTGATAATTGCTTGAAAGTGTTTTTTTTTTAATCAAGCCAATGGCGTCTTCATCGGATTCATGGATGAGAGAATACAACGAGGCTTTAAAACTCGCTGAGGATATCAACGGAATGATCTCCGAAAGGAGTAAGTCTCCCTTAACAGGGCCTGATGCTCAACGTCGTGCTTCAGCTATACGTAGAAAGATCACTATTTTCGGAACACGTTTAGATAGTCTTCAGTCTCTTCTCGCCAAAATCCATGGGAAGCCTATGTAAGCCATTTAAAGTTTAATATGATTTGCTTACAAATAAGTAAAGTGATCTGAATGTTTAGTTTTACTGTGTTACAGTTCAGAGAAGGAGATGAACAGGCGCAAGGATATGATTGGGAATTTGAGATCGCAGGCGAATCAGATGGCGAGTACTTTGAACATGTCGAACTTTGGTAATAGAGATAGCTTGCTTGGGTCTGAGATAAAGGCGGATGATACCATGAGCAGAGTTAGTGGCATGGATAATCAAGGGATTGTTGGGTTTCAACGACAAGTTATGAGAGGTAAAGCTGTTTTTAATCCTGTAACGTGGATGTTGTTGGCTTCTGTATTAGTTTATTTACTGAGTTTGTAATATTTGGCGAGGTAGAACAAGATGAAGGACTTGAGCAGCTTGAGGAAACAGTGATGAGTACAAAACACATTGCTTTAGCTGTCAATGAAGAGCTTAGCTTGCAGACAAGGCTTATTGTATGTTATCCGCTTTTCATTTTTTTTAACTGCCTTGATTTGGATTTCATTTTTGTAACAATGCTGGGTATGTATGCAGGATGACTTAGACTACCATGTGGATGTTACTGACTCTCGCTTACGGGTAATAGATAACGTCAACTCTTAAATATTTCAAGATTTTTGTGAGTCATGAGCTGAAGTGAATTGATTTCCGAATAGATGATCTAAGAATATGAGTAATATAGGCATTGATCTGTTCTGTTTGTTGTTTATTCTTACAGAGAGTGCAAAAGAACCTTGCTGTCATGAACAAGAATATGAGAAGTGGCTGTTCTTGCATGTCAATGCTTTTGTCAATGCTCGGGATCGTCGGTCTTGCTGTTGTAATATGGCTGCTGGTTAAGTACTTGTAATCTCAACATTAGAGAACTTATAAGTTTCTATCTAGTTCACTTACCGCCTCTGTGTGAAATGGTCTCAGTGTACCTCATGATTCAACATTTGTCCTCATGATTCAACATTTGCGCTTGTCCTTTTCGTTCCTCTTATGTTGTGAGAACCTTTAATAAATATTATAATCATGTGTGCAGTTTTCACAGTTTTTGTTTCATTAAGATTAAAGAACTGGTAGCAAGTAAAACGCAGAGGCATAGACATGTTTTGTAAGAGATCTTTAACGAAGAAACTCGTCTGAATTCACAAATAAGATATGATCATCTGAGATTCTGAGAAAAGTAAGAATGAAAGGTTCAGATGAAAGAGGGTAGTACAAAACTTTTCTTTATGGTCTGATATGGTTAAAACGCTTTTTTTTTCTTGTTGTGGGAACTCAGTCTTCAAAATCTGCCGAGTTCTCTAGCAGATAGTTTGCAGCCAATTCCTCGTTACGATCACACGCAAGGAAGGCTTCTATGACCAATGCTCTATCAAATCCCATTGCCTCAAGCTGATCAAAAAGGAGTTAAAGTAAGAGTAAGATTAGATGAGAAACATGATATTTCAGGTTTTTATAATGGTGATGATGAATGTATGTGTGTGTACCCGTTGAATCGCTTCTTGCTCTGCAGGGGTAACATTGACTGCATGGGGCATTTCTTGCTCGGGCTGGTCAAGAATATCCATATCCCTGAGAGTTTTGCATAACCAATAAGAGGCATTGAGTCAGTGGCCAAACCAAGAAAATGATCTGCAGACAGCATACTATAGAGTACTCACCCGTCAGATCCTTCATAGGGCTCATTGATTAACTGAAGAAATTCGGCTTGGTTCTCTTGAATGAGCCTCAGAAGTTGGGGGTTCTGCTTTCCAAGCTCTTGAAGCATAGGCTGTAACAGAAACAGAGATGAGATGTTCACATGTCAGGCTACTAGTTTCTGGTCCCAAAAGCACTATAATGAAAGGCAAAGCCTAGCTTACCTGCAGAATCTGGGGGTTGGAATTGACCATTGATCGTAATTGTTGGAACTAAGACAAATAGAAATACAACAAGATTAGTGTTATGGGGAAGCTGCATCGAATAATTAAAGCAATATCATATAGGGGTAGGCTAGAATCCACGTCCCTGAAGGTGATGGAACAGACTTCTAACAAATATAGGTACCAAGTTTTTAATCCTTGATCTCAGAAATGAAAAGTGGGGATAAGGATAGAATGACTACCTGATCATTGCCTCTGAGGAAATCAAGCGTTCCAAGCTCTCCAGCACCAGCTTCTGCTTCCTGGAATAAAACAAATTTCAAGGGAACTCAACTCCAATAAACTCTTTTCGATGCACAAAAACACCAAACTCTTACCTGAGGAAACAAATCCAAAGGAGATGAATTTGGTCCCCCAGAGGCAGGAGGAGCGGCAAGGTCTGCACCAGATCCTACTCCCGACATGTTAGTTACTGGAACAGTTTCTCTTTCAGGAATCCCCTGAAAAATATAAAATTTCAGCAGTTTCATTCCCCTTATAACATCAACAGGACACTGTTAGAGAGAAGGGAGACATACAGAGTATAGATAATCCACAGCTCTCTCAGGGTTGTTATAAGCTGCACGAAGTGCACGAGTAACAGTTTCTTTGTCCCAGCTGCCTCCTCCCATTTCCATTATTTGTTGAACCATTTGCTCAGTACTACCGCCACTAGCTAAAGTTGAAGCAGTCTGAGCATTGTTGTCACTTTGTGCCAGAGTGGAATTTGAAGCTGGCACAGGTACAGACTGGGTTGTCGACGGAGATGCAGGCTGCTTGATAGGCACAAGTGTGTATTAAATGAGTCGAGGAATCCAAATGATGATTATAATAACAACCAACGAAGAAAGGATGTGTAAGAAAATTACCATAGCTGAAGATGTGGTGGTAGTTGTAGCCGTGGAAGTAGGCTGTAAGATAGGAACAAAGTTATTCCACTGAGAACACTGAACTCATCAAGTGATGGGTAACAACATGAGAAATAAGAAATACGCTTTACCTGAGCCGAAGATGGACCAGCCGAGCTTGCAGTTTTGCTCTATCAATTGCAAAAAAAAAAAAGTAAAGTACCTTATGTAATTTTCAGTAAGAGCAACGGATATCAAAACATGAATCTAGCTAAATCATGTTATCGTTTTAACAGAATGCCAAAGATTTGAGCAAATAAAAAAAACCAGAACCAATCAAAGGGTGCAATACTTCACAAATACTGCATCATAAGCAAAAAAAAATCTAACTTGATACCCAAAAAAGTGAGTACCTTGCTAAGCATGACAACAAGAAAACCTTCCTCGGTAACATTATTCTCCACCAAAGTAGTCTCATCTTTCAAAACCTTCCCATTGTGAATCAACAACTGCTGTCCACATGGATAGTTGTCTTTGCTCTGCGAATCCTCAATATTCTTCTTCACCGCCATTATCTTTCAAAAACCCAAACACACAAACATAAGAACACATACACAACAACAACATCTACACTCCACTCAACAAGACCAATCTAAAAACTTGAAATTCTGAATCTAGCATACAGCAAGCTGTTAATCTGGTATTGCAGCACAGAGATTTAGGGTCTCTTTATTCCAAAACCTATCTAAAGTTACTGACTTTCACATACAAAATTACACGTAGTAGATCTGAACCGAAGGGAAACAAGGACTGACCGTATCGGTGGGCAGAACCCTGATTTCAAAATGGCTACCCTTGAGAGTCTTGACGGTGAGCTTCATGTCGACGAATTGAACCAGGCGGCGTTCAGGGGAGTCCGGCGAGAGAGGGAGATTACAGAGTGACCTAAAAGAGCGTTCTTTCCAACAACTCTACCAAAAAAACAGTCGCAATCAAACGAGCGTTTCGGGTTTTAAAACGCGGCAAGGGCAACCCACGTGCGAGTTACTGCAAGATGCCTCCAAATCCAAGCGCATCGCACGTGACACAATCCCAGTCACCATAAATATCTCCCCATATATTTCATTTTAAACAAGTTTCCAAGTTGTCCAAAAAAAAAAGAAAAAAAAAAGAAGTTTCCAATAATATTTAGTTACAAAAATATAAAATTTCTCTGAAAGACAATAATATTACCAAGACATAAAAATTTAATTAGTTATATTAGGGGTCTTTACCATAAAAAAATACCTTCTCTTTCAGTAAATTAATTTATTTTACAAAATATTTTATTATTTTTGAGTATATGCTATTTTCAGTATACGCCAAACTGATTAATTTTACAAAACTATTTCTACACAAGACAGGTGGAATTATGATAACTAAAATATTTAAATATAATTTATTTTACAAATGGACCAACAAAGGCCAATCGTTAGATAGCAGTAGCACACGAGACTATTATAGTCGAATGACAATCATCTTATCTTCTTTACAAATTCAAGATTCTTAGTTTTTCATGATCTCTGGTGGATTTGTTAAGCTCAGAACTCACGGTCAGGGAAGAGAATCGGAGCAACAAGTGACCAGATGAAGAGACCAGCAGTGGCCCAGCTGGTCACAACACGGACCCACACAGACGGCCACCCAACATCCACCAGCTTGCCACTTTCACCAACCGAAGTTGACCAACCAGTTAAGAGCATTGCAGAGTACATGCTCGCGAGGGAGAAGATGATGTGGAAGAATGCGTATGAGTATGTCACTGGCTTCTTCTGCTCTTTCTCTTCCTTGTCTTCTGCTTTCCCGTCTAGTGGAAGCAGAGGCTTCTCTGTACATTTTCAACAAAAGCACAACAAGTTTAAAAACTTAAGAAGCAGGTTAAGCACTCAAACATGGTTTCCTAATTGGGATGTGCAAGTTAAACAAGAAACGGGAGACTTGAGGGGATTTTTTTTGGAAATATACCTGCACGGGGAGAATCAGGAGAGGAGAGAAGTGTAGTGGAAGAACCAGCACGAACAGCGGAATAAACGACAGAGAGAACAGTTGTGAGTAACCCAATGGTCATGGTGCCTGTTGAAACAGCTTTGGAGTGATTGTGGAGACCATTGCATTCGTAATCTCGGGGTTCACTTGCAAGTCCACTGTAGCAGAGGTACATGCAGTAGAAAGATATAACTGATGCTGGTAAAATGCTTCCACCGACCTGAAAAATAAAATTCAATTCTTCATTGAGTCTAAAGATGAGATCAACAAGAAACTAAAGGTTTTAAAAGTCAAAACTTACAGCAGGATGCAGAACTACAACAGCAAAGACGAATACAAATATCAAAGTCATGACAATGAAGAAAGTGTTGAGTCCACAATCATGCCCAGATGGAGTAAACCAATGGAAGAGAAGTCCAGAGAAGACGAATGTTGCCAAGTAACATACAAGAGAAACAACAAGCAACGCAGCATACCTGTATAGAAAGTCCAGTGTTACATTTGCAGTGATATGATAAAGTTAGATAGGATTGCATATATATAAAGACTAACCAGAACTGCTCGTCGTAGCCAACCCATGTGTCATTCCATCCATGAACGAAATCCAAAAGAAGCACAACTTGAACAAGAAGAAAGAATCCAGCACCAAACTTTGACATCGACTCTGCAATTAATTCTCATTAGTTCCAAGTGTTAATGACTCCATCAGGAGCATATATTCACAAGAGAGATGCCACTTCACCGTAAAAGCTGATGACTTCATTAGGAACAAAGAACATCAAGATAACCAAAACAAACCAACAGATAACTTTCATCATCCAACCACCGTGATGTATACCATCACGAGGGTCTTTCTGAGTCTTCACACCAACCATCATAACCGAAAGAATCGAGAAAAACACGAAGTTCCCTAAGCTGACACGCAAGACAGCATCAGTCTCAAACCATTCCCGATCAGGTGTCTTGTGAAATTGGTTAATCCCTGCACACACAAAAAAATGTCAATTTATCAGCTCCATAAGCTAATTCATTACAATGCCAAAAGGAAAAAAAACTTACAAGGGAGCTTCTCCATGAGAGGAGCAGCGACTTCACGGAGAATCCATGAAACGATTAAAGAAAGTGCAAAGAGACCACAGTAAGCAATCCTTGCGGAACGTCTGCTGATGCTAGAGACCACTGTACGGCAAGCATCGCATGCACAAGCGGCACAGCACGATGCAAGACAAGAAGCTGCCCACATCTTTTATTTATTTATTGCTTGGTTTCAATATTGAGCTGCTAGTATGAAAAGAACACACACAAATATACATATCATCAAACAACTTTCTTCTCATCTAATCATTACCAATAAAATCCCTAATCTAAATAAAAGGTGACTTTTCCCCCAAATTGGAGACGGAGTCAAAATTGAAATTCTAAATTTTACCCAAAGAAACTAGCTTTAGTGATCGGATTTGAGCTATGCAAGAAAATTAAAGGAAAAAAACCCAAATCGAACGAAAATACCTTTGGATAACGAGCGATCAAACCTTGAATTTTTCACTTTTTTTCCTCTCCTAGAAAAGTTGAACAAACTCGGTGTATTCTTATGGTTCTCGCTGCTAACAAGGACTTGTTGGTATTATTAATCAACGATGCCAATGTGATGACCATGACCTTTCATTATAAGCCCACTAAAGGCCCAATACTTAAAAAGTTTTCTTTCTTTTTCTTATAAAAGGAGTGGAGGCTTGACACGCATAATCATTTTTTTGTCCTCTCTATCTTTTTTCTTTTTTGTTTTTTTTTGTAAATAAAAATCCCTAAATTTCCGTCGTATGTAACGGAATTTAATAAAACCGCGTACGGCGTCATCCGGCAAATCCCCCCAGCCTCCAGCCATCAAACCACGGAGGAGACTCATCTCTTCCTCTCGATATCAGAAAAGCTTCCGGAGAGAATCATCCTCTAGCTACGCACTCATTTTTTTTTAATTCTCAGAGCTGGAAGCAGCAGCTTCTCTTCCTCTTTCACCGGTTCGTTTCCTACATACCTTCACCCTATACCTTTTAGATCTATTTCCTTTAGCTATCGCCATGATTATATTTTATCCTTAGATTTGATCGACTCCTTTCCTCGAATCTCTCTTAATCCATTTTTCATTTGACGACTGCTCGCTGTTTCGATCGATGGATCCAAATCTGTGATTCCAATTATAAAAAAAAGACTAAATCTCGTTTCGAAATTGATTAATCTTCTGACGATAGATCATAGATTGATACGTTGCTTCGCTGATCTCTGTTTCTCATCGACATTAATGAGCTAGAAATTCAAAATTATTTGTAACTGTATAAATTGGTTTACGATTTGATAATTTCAATCTAATTAAACCGGTTTTGGTTTGGTTAATCTCTTGGGAATAGATCATAGATTGAAATGTTGTTCGATTTCTCGCGCGTGGTTCCCTAATCACTGTTTCTCATTGACATTAATGATCTCGAAGTTCAAAATTATCTGTAGCTGTATAAATTGGTTTACTATTTGACAATTTCAATTCAATCTGATTAAACCGGTTTTGGTTTGGGTTGGGTTGTCCAATCGTATGAATTGATATTGTTGTGTATCAAATTGCAGGTTTGTTGATTATCAAAAGCCATGGTTCTTGATGGGGTTGTTTCTTCACCATCAAAGAGAACACAGTCTCTAAAGAAGCAGTGGGAAGATTTGGGTAGCTGCTCCACCGTTATCAATAGGCATCGATATCTTTTAACTGCTTTGGTGCTTTTGGCGTTTCTTTGCACTGTTTATATTTACTTTGCTGTCACTTTAGGCGCTACGCACTCTTCCTGCTACGGCTTGACGGGTAAAGAGAAGGCAATGTGTCAATTACAACGTGTTCAAGCTCTCTCCAAAGGGAAGCTTAAATTTTTCTAGAGTTGTGTCATCGAGTTAAAAGCTGAAGAACCTACATGATTGTTTGTTGCCGTAGTACTACATTCTTTTTGTTTTTTATTTATTCTGTTGTGACATTTGTGTGTATTATATTATTACATGGTGAAGTACCCAGAGATATGTAATCGAAACATAATTCATTTTGTTCATGAATGAAAAAAAAAAAAAAGTTTCTTACAGGTTCTTACACTTATTGAATACCTTAGTGTTCTGGTATATCATGACCAAGTTCAATTGAGGAACCACCGGTTTGGAGATTACATTTTAACATGGAGGCTGGAACAGTCCTCGTACACCAAGGCAACCCCAAAACTTGGAGTTAGAGACAACCTCAAGGAAATGAGTTGCATTTAACATGGAGACAACCTCAAGGAAATGCGTTGCTCAGCCCTTTTCTTCTTGGACATGAGATAGTGGGTTTTCTCCGGTTATGAGCTCCACCAAGCCAACCCCAAAACTATATACATCGCTCTTGTCAGTGTTATTAATGATGTTCTAAACTATATATATCTCTATGGTATATTGGAAACGATGCAGCTGAGTGCATGCACAGGTTCTGGTACAAGAAGTTGAAGAATTACTATTTGGAAGCGTTGCTTCTGATGAGCCATTCATGAGCAGAGTTAGGACAGGCGCTATGATACATTGGAAGTTGTAAGTCTTTGTCTCCATAGTTCTCTTTTTCTTTTTTTTCTTGATCTGATCAATCTGCTCTTTTAGGGCCACTACCTTGAGTACATTTGACTAGTCAATGGTCATGGATCCATTGACTTTTTAGCTAATGTTTGTCTGGTCAAGTTTGTTTTGTATCCTGTGCGAACATGTTGCGGTGACAAATGTATATAATAAGTTCGGTCAACTTTCATATGGTCTGGAGAATAAAAAGTGGATTCAAGTTGATGTCTAGACTTAACAGAAAAAAAAGAATCAGGTTTGTGTTAGGATTAATATCAAAATTAACTCAGCTGACTTTTAACGATTCCAAAAGCAAAAATAAAGCTATTAATCATCCATATTCCATAGGCAAAATTTGTGTTCTTTTATTTCTTATTGGCATTTTTCTTTTTGAATATTAGAGGGAATCAGAGCCAAAGTCTGTACTCTTCCCAGATTTGATACAATTTCATTTCGGCAGTCACTCAAACCATAGAGTTAACCAGAGAACTCTGACGCAATGGCCAATTTTCTTTCCCGTTGAGCTAAATGACGTCTGGTTATTGGTGTATTTTTAGTTTTAGCTTTTCTAATTTTCAGTGTTTTTAGAACTTTGACTAATGGTCTTTTTTAAAACACAACTTTGACTAGTGGGGATTAATAATAAAATTCAGCGTAAAAATTGATTTAAATTCTTTCTAAACAAATGGGTATTACCTTTTCTTTATCAGGAAAGCACATTGAGATTGATCAGAAGAAACAAAGAAGATAAGAGTTATGCAGACAAAGACTTACAACTTCATATGTATTGTAACGTTTGTTATCCTTACTTTCCTCGTCAATGACTCATCAACAGCAACATCTCAAAACGGTAACTCTACAACTTCTTGTAACGAAACATGTGGGGGAGTCTCGATCCCATGGCCTTTTGGAATCGGCGGGAAGGATTGCTATCTCAACAACTGGTACAAGGTTGTCTGCAACACAACTACTTCCGGAACAACTGTCCCGTTTCTCTCACGGATCAATACTGAAGTGGTCAACGTCTCTCTTCCAGATGGATCCCGAGATAAACCATACGGTATAGTTCTCATCAAAGGTCCTTTGACTTCATTAGATTGTTCTAATAACACTAGTCAAGGACTCCAAAAGTCACTACCAGATTTGAACGTCACAGGCAAGGGAAGTCCATACTTCATCACAGACAATAACCGCCTTGTGGCTATTGGCTGCGATACAAAGGCGTTGATGACTGATATAGACTCAGAGACATTGGGTTGCGAAACAAGCTGCAAAGAAAGCTTGAGTAGTCAGCAAGTAACTGACTCAATCTGTGACGGCTACAAATGCTGCCAGACGAGAATACCGTTGGAGCGTCCACAAGTTATAGGTGTGAATATAGATGTCACAAGAGGAGAAGGCTGCAGAGTTGCCTTCTTGACTGACAAAAGATACTCACCATCAAATGTTACTGCGCCAGAACAATTCCATGGTGGTGGCTACGCGGTGGTGGAGCTAGGTTGGTACTTTGATACTTCGGATTCTAAGTTTAGAAACAACCCCTTAGGTTGCAGAAACTTGACTCATTACAACTCTTACGACTCTGACACAAGATGTCTTTGTGAGTATGGTTACTTCAACGAGATTAGTTATAGGAACTGCCATTGCCTTATTGGCTTCAAAGGGAATCCATATCTTAGAGGAGGTTGCGTAGGTAAGTGATTGTTTCTGTTATCTTTTGTGTAGTAATCAGCATAAAATCAAAACATATATGATTGATATATTTATATATATGTAGAAGCTGATATGTGCAAAGAACCTGGTGTGTGTGAAGAAGGGAATATTTGTGAGAACGCGCGTGGATCAATGTACACGTGCAAGCCCAAGCCCAAGCCCAAGGCCGAGGTAACTAAGCAGGGAAAGTCCTTCGTTCTAGAAGGTGAGTTAGTTCCTTGCGTTTTGTAGACTACAAGGCAGAAGAGAAAGTAGTGTTACTTATTTATATTTTGTTTCTTTTATGTTGCAGGGGTTCTAATAGGTCTGTTGGGACTTATGTTTTTAGTTGGTGTGATCTTCTGGTTGTTCATATTTATAAGGAAGCGAAGGAGGATCATACGTGGCAGGAAGTTCTTTAAACGTAATGGAGGCTTGTTGTTGAAACAACAACTAACTACTACAAATGAAGGAAATGTAGAGATGTCAAGGATCTTTACCTCAAAAGAATTGAAGAAAGCTACTGATAACTTCAGCGTGAAGAGGGTGCTTGGACAAGGAGGTCAAGGAACTGTGTACAAAGGAATGCTGGTGGATGGGAGGATTGTTGCGGTTAAAAGATCAAAACTTGTGGATGAAGACAAGATGCAAGAGTTTATCAATGAAGTAGCACTTCTCTCACAGATAAACCATAGGAACATTGTGAAGCTCTTGGGATGTTGCTTGGAGACAGAAGTACCAATCTTGGTTTACGAATATATACCCAATGGAGATCTGTTCAAGCGTCTTCATGATGATTCAGATGATTACAACATGACTTGGGACGTACGTCTTCGCATAGCTGTGGAGATTGCAGGAGCACTTTCATATATGCACTCAGCTGCATCGTTTCCAATATACCATAGAGATATCAAGGCAACTAATATACTCTTAGATGAGAAGTACAGAGCTAAAGTGTCTGATTTTGGAACTTCAAGATCAGTAACCGTAGACCAAACTCACTTGACAACATTAGTTGCAGGGACTTTTGGGTATATGGATCCTGAGTACTTCTTATCAAGCCAGTATACTGACAAGAGCGATGTTTATAGTTTTGGGGTTGTCTTGGTGGAGCTCATAACTGGAGAAAAACCACTATGTCGTGTCCGGTCTGAAGAGGGAAGAGGATTGGCAGCTCATTTCCTTGAGGCCATGAAAGAAAACAGAGTGTTTGACATCATTGATGATCGGATCAACGATGAAAGCAAGATGGACCAAGTGATGGCAGTCGCAACACTTGCTGAAAGGTGTCTAAGCCGGAAAGGAAGGAAGCGACCAAACATGAGAGAGGTTTCGATTGAGCTGGACAGGATCCGTTCATCACTTGAAGATTTAGATGTCCATGTTGAAAACGTTGATTAATAGGAACAAGCAACTCATGGAAATTTTAATTGATTTGAACTGCTTAAAGATGATTCATGATTCAGTGAGTTGCTAGAGTTATAGTATGTGTTACTAACTGTTATTGGATTCTTTGACTAGTCTTAATGGACTATACTTATCTAGTTATCTGTTTCATTTGGCATTTTAGATTTATTTTTTTTAGTTTCAAAAAGTATTATTTTATATTTTTAATGTACTCTTACATATTAAATTTATCTTTATCCGTTTAAATAATCATTAGAATTTTATTACATCATTTTTATTTAACTAATTATACGTTAAATAGAAATATGTTACTATATTTTACAAAAAAAAATTAATTCACATGAAATATGACACTTTTTGTGAAGTAGTAATTATTAGATAGTTGACTTTTATGCTCGTTTTGATTGGCCAAAAAAGTAAAAAAGTTCACGTGATCCAAGCCTTAGCCATTCGCCATTACATTATGATTGGTCAGCAAATGACAAATTCGTTTGACTTTTTAAGTTCACAATTTTTTGGTCAACTAGTTTTGCATCTCTTTCCACACCTTCTATTTTTATTCTCATCTGAAATTTCGTCCAACTATGCTGAGTCTTGATTATTTTCTCCCTTCATTTGCACATTACTAGAAGATTAAAGAAGTAGACCAAGCAAAAAAAAAAAAAAAATCAGTATGAAGACAGAGACTTACGACCTCGTATGCTTGACACTAGTGATCTCTCTGTTCATCCATGGCGTCTCATCAGCAAGAAAACCTCAAGATCCATGTAACAGACTATGCGGAGGACTATCAATCCCATTCCCGTTCGGTATCGGTGGGAAAGACTGCTACCTAAACCCGTGGTACGAGGTTGTCTGCAACAGCAACTCTGTTCCGTTCCTCTCAAAGATCAACAGAGAGTTAGTAAAAATCTCTCTTCCAAACGATAGAGATTACTATTCTTATGGAGTTGTTCACATCAAAGGTCCCATAACTTCTTCTGGCTGCTCTAACGGAACATCTCAACCGCTTACACCGCCGCCTTTAAACGTCGCCGGTCAAGGAAGCCCTTATTTCTTCACGGACAAGAACCATCTCGTGGCGGTTGGTTGCAACGCCAAAGCGGTTATGACAGATATCAAATCTCAGATCATCGGTTGTAAATCGAGCTGTAACGAGAGAAATAGTAGCCAAGAAGTGAGAAACAAGATTTGCAATGGTGACAAATGTTGTCAGACGAGGATACCAGAAGGGACGCCACAAGTGATTGGAGTTACTTTAGAGATCTCTCAAGGTAATAATACAAGAGAAGAAGGATGCAAAGTTGCTTTTCTGACGAGCGAGAAGTATTCTAGTTTAAACGTTACAGAGCCTAAACAGTTTCATGGTGATGGCTACGCGGTGGTAGAGCTAGGATGGTACTTTGATACTTCGGATCCTCGTGTTCCAAGACCTGTAGGCTGTAAAAACGTGTCAGATGTATCACAAGATGGTGGCTACTCGAGAGAGACGAGTTGCCTTTGCTCGTATGGCTACTTTTCTGGATTAAGCTATAGAAATTGCTATTGTAACTCAATGGGTTACACAGGGAATCCTTTCCTTCCTGGTGGTTGTGTTGGTAAGAGCTTAATGTTTTTTTTTCTTAAATCTTATCACATTTTGTGTCATTGTTGCTAACTAATAACCAAATATGTAGACATTGATGAATGTAAACTAGAAGAAGGACGCAAAAAGTGTAAAGAGTCCCAAAGTTGTGTGAATAGGCCTGGTTGGTTTGAATGTGAGCCCAAGAAACCAGAACAACTCAAGCCAGTGATTCAAGGTAATTAACATTCAAACTTGAGTTACTAATCTTGAGAGTTTTTTTGTTCTTTACATTTTAGTATTTTGTTGTTGGTGTAGGTGTTCTCATAGGTTCGGCGCTACTGATTTTCGCCTTTGGAGTTTTCGGTTTGTACAAGCTGGTTAAGAAGCGAAGGAGGATCATACGAATGAAAAAGTTCTTCAGACGTAACGGAGGTATGTTGCTGAAACAACAGTTAGCTAGAAACGAAGGCAATGTAGAGATGTCAAGGATATTTAGCTCCAATGAGTTGGAGAAAGCTACTGATAACTTCAACAAGAATCGGATTCTTGGGCAAGGAGGTCAGGGGACTGTGTATAAAGGTATGCTCGTTGACGGTACAATCGTCGCTGTGAAGAGATCCAAAGCAATGGATGAAGACAAGGTAGAAGAGTTCATCAATGAAGTCGTTGTTCTCGCACAAATCAACCACAGAAACATTGTGAAACTCTTGGGATGTTGTCTAGAGACAGAAGTTCCTGTCTTGGTTTATGAGTTTGTACCAAATGGAGACTTATGCAAGCGTCTTGACGATGAATCTGATTATTTGAAGATGACTTGGGAAGTGCGTCTTCACATAGCTATAGATATTGCAGGAGCTTTGTCATATCTGCACTCTGCTGCATCTTTCCCTATATATCACAGAGATATCAAGACTACTAATATACTATTAGATGAGAAATATAGAGTTAAGGTGTCGGATTTTGGAACTTCGAGATCAGTAACCATAGATCAAACTCACTTGACGACTCAGGTTGCTGGTACTTTTGGATATGTGGATCCAGAGTATTTTCAATCAAGCAAGTTTACAGAGAAAAGTGATGTTTATAGTTTTGGAATTGTTCTTGTGGAGCTTTTGACTGGAGAGAAGCCGTCCTCTCGTGTCTTGTCTGATGACAACAGAGGGTTTGCAGCTCACTTTGTTAAGGCTGTGAAAGAGAACACGTTTGTTAACATAGTTGATGTTCGGATGAAAGATGAAAGTAATCTGGAACAAGTGATGGCAGTGGCGAAACTAGCTAGAAGATGTTTAAATAGACAAGGGAAGAAGAGGCCAAACATGAGAGAGGCTTGGATTGAGCTGGAGAGGATTCGTTCATCATCTCATGATTCAGAGGTTAATATAGAGGAAGAGGATGATGATGAAGAGGATGAAGCTATGCAGTTTAACGTTGATGAGAGTTGGGAAGTTGAGGTGACTGCTCCAGCCTCCATGTTTAATAATGCATCTCCAACGTCTGATGTTGAGCCTCTGGTTCCTTTACGAACGTGGTGATGATCCGCTTAAAACACTGCAAAATGTATATTTACTCTCATGATGGAAAAAAATAAATGTTTGATTTAGATTACGAATCTCTTGTTTTCATCATGTAAACAAATATTTTCATATTGTATTAAGGCATTATGGTTACAAGAAAAGAAAAGAAAAAATGTTTTAAATTTTAGTTCTGAAAACACACACATAATAGACCATATGAAAGTAGACCACAATGTATTGAACATTTTTGACCATATGGAAAGTAGACAAGTAGCATCCTCTGTTGATTTCCATGCATGGTTGCATCATTGTTTTTTATATGAATCGATACATCTTCAGGTGATGAACAGATATTTTCATCTTCTATCTCAAACCTAGCTGATCTTATCATCTTCTGATGAAGATGTTTGAACAGAAAGACACTGACCATTAAGAGTTACTTGGATAATAATGCAAGTCAAGTCATATCACCAAAGATCTACAATTCACTTTGAAAGTACATATCAAATTTGAAATTACATAAGTTGATGACTTGCTGTCTATGCGCTCTTATTAAATTTTCTTGTCACCATTTTCGACTAACTTTAGGGATACATATAACAAAGCCTAGAACAGTCGTGTACACGCCCTTAGAATCATTCTCTGTTGATCTCCATGGCTTGGTCCTCTTCATTTGCGGTTTTTAAATAGCTCTCTAAATCTTCAGATGGTAAACGGATCCTCTCCAGCTCAATCGAAACCTCCCTCATGTTTGGACGTTTCCTTCCTTTCCTGCTTAGACACCTTCCAGCGAGTGTTGCGACTGCCATCACTTGGTCCATCTTGCTTTCGTCTTTGATCCGATCATCAATGATGTCGACCACTCTGTTTTCTGTCATGGCCTCAAGGAAATGAGTTGCTAAGTTCTTTGCATATTCAGACCGGACACGAAATATTGGTTCTTCTCCGGTTATAAGCTCCACCAAGACAACCCCGAAGCTGTAAACATCGCTCTTGTCAGTGTATTGGCCTGATAAGAAGTACTCGGGATCCATGTATCCGAAAGTGCCTCCAACTATTGTTGTCAAGTGAGTTTGATCTATGGTTACCGATCTTGAAGTTCCGAAATCAGACACCTTGGCTCTGTATTTCTCATCCAACAATATATTGGTAGTCTTGATATCTTTGTGGTAAATTGGAAACGATGAAGCTGAGTGCATGTATGAAAGTGCTCCCGCGATCTCTATGGCTATGCGAAGACGTACTTCCCAAGTCATGTTGTAATCATCAGATTCATCATGAAGACGCTTGAACAGATCTCCATTGGGAATATATTCGTAAACCAAGACTGGAACTTCCGTCTCCAAGCAACATCCCAAGAGTTTCACAATGTTCCTATGGTTTACCTGTGAGAGAAGTGAGACTTCATTGATAAACTCTTGCATCTTGGCTTCGTCCACAAGTTGGGATCTCTTGACCGCGACGATCTGGCCATCTACCAGCATTCCCTTGTACACAGTTCCTTGACCTCCTTTCCCAAGGACCCTCTTCACGCTGAAGTTATCAGTAGCTTTCTTCAATTCTTTTGAGCTAAATATCCTTGACATCTCTAGTTTTCCGTCCTTTGTGGTAGTTAGTTGTTGTTTTAACAGCAAGCCTCCATTACGTTTAAAGAACTTCCTGTTGCGAATGATCTTTCTTCGCTTCCTTATATGTATGAACAACCAGAATATCCCACCAACTAAAAACATAAGTCCCAATAGACCTATTAGAATCCCTGCAACATGCATCAAAAGAGAACATAAGTTACACTACAATTTCTCTTCTGCCTTATAGTCTATAAGATGCAAGGTGCCACTGGAATTTGGAACTCACCTTGTAACACGAAGGGTTTAGCCGGTTTAAGCTTGCACAATTTATCCGATTTAGGAAACTCACCGGGTTTTCTGCAGGTATAATTGGCTACATATATATACATATATATCAGTCACAAGTATCACATTAATTGATTTTATCTATTCTATTAAAATAGAAGTACAAAACAATAGATACTTATTTCAAGTTATTTTTTTTACAGAGTTTACTAATCACTTCATTTATTGTTTTTTTCTAAATAATCATTTCATTTATTATAATCACTCATTTATTGTCTTACTTGAATATGAAATTCGCGTAGATTCGGTTTTAATATATGAAATTTTTTAAAATATCCGAAAACTAATGTATCTGAAACATATTGTATATTTGTACCAGAAATAACCATATTAACTGATTCGATTTAGATATTTTGAATCCAAATTAAAAATAACCAAAAGTAATCATATTATCTGATTTGATTTGGATTCAGTTCTGATGTATATGATTTAAAATATTCAATTAATTATATGATAATACATATAAAATAGAGATATATAACTTTGATTACAAAAAAATAAAATATTAATTTTAAAATGTAAAATTTAACGGTCGTGCGGATCAATCTATGATTAATAGTCGAGCCATTTCACTTACCTACACAACCCCGTGGAATGTATGGATTCCCTGAAAAGCCTTCAGTGCAATGGCAGGTCCTATAACCCATCTCATAAAAGTAACCATACTCACAAATACAGCTTGTCTCTGAGTCGTAAGCGCTCAAGCGGGTCCAATTTTCGCAACCGAAGGGGTTTCTAGAGCGAGGATCCGAAGTACCAAAATACCAACCTAGCTCCACCAACGCGTAGCCACCATCATGGAACTGTTCTGGTGCAGTAACATTTGAAGGCGAATATCTTTTGTCAGTCAAGAAGGCAACTCTGCAGCCTTCTCCTCTGGTGGCATCTATATTCACACCTATAACCTGTGGACGATCCAACGGTATTCTCGTCTGGCAGCATTTGTAGCCGTCACAGATGGAGTCTGTTACTTGCTGAACATTCAAGCTTTCTTTGCAGCTTGTTTCGCAACCTAATGTCTCTGAGTCTATATCTGTCATCAACGCCTTTGTATCGCAGCCAATAGCCACAAGGCGGTTATTGTCTGTGATGAAGTATGGACTTCCCTTGCCTGTGACGTTCAAATCTGGTAGTGACTTTTGGAGTCCTTGGCTAGTATTACTAGAACAGTCCAAAGAAGTCACAGGACCTTTGATGAGCACAACTCCGTATGGTTTATCTCGGGATCCATCTGGAAGAGATATCATGATCACTTCAGTATTGATCCGTGAGAGGAACGGAACAGTTGTTTTGGAAGTGGTGGTGTTGCAGACAACCTCGTACCAGTTGTTGAGATAACAAGTCTTCCCGATTCCAAAAGGGAACGGAATCGAAACTCCTCCACAGGTTTGATTGGTACAAGAAGAATTATTATTTTGAGTTGTTGCTGCTGATGAGTCATTGACGAGCAAAGTAAGGATAACAGACGTTACAATACATATGAAGTTGTAAGTCTTTGTCTTCATAACTCTTTTTTTTTTTTTGTTGCTTTCTTTGTTCTTGATCTGATCAATCCCAATATGCTTTTGTAAGAAAGACAAGGTCCGACCCATAAGTAGAAAGAAGTGTAAAGCAACTTTCTTAAAAAGTTGAATTTTATTATTAAGCCATATAGACAAAAAAAATACTGAAAATTAAGAAAAAAACTTAAAGAAAATAAATATTCAAAATAAAAACGCATGTTTTGTCTATCGATGATTTCTTCATGTGATAACTTCACTTTTGCTTTGGGAACAATTAAATGTACATTGAGATCATTTTGTTATTAATCCAAATATCTACTCGTTTCATAAAAATGTCACTTTAAGGTTTCTCACTTATATTAAGAAATCATTTAAATTATATTTTTTTTTGCTCATATTAAAAATGAATATTTATTTAAAATTTTGCATTGGAAAGATAAGATACTCTTTTTGAAACAAAAAAATAAAATTAACGATAACACCCTTTAAAAAAACAGAGGGAATATTAGTTCGTGTGTCAAAGTTTTGAAAGAATATCTGTGATTAAAACCCGCCTAATCTCTAGACGAAAGCCAAACCACCATCGATTGGTGAAAGATGTTCCTCCTTGTCCTTGTAGTGAACTGATTCTATTTCTTGTTTGTTTGTCGATGAACTTGATAAGAAGACTCGGATAGCTAGTGATATCGACATGGTTGATTTTTTTCTATCAACAAAAGTATCAAACTTGAACTACAGTTTTTTTTTTTTTGAACTATTAAAGTTACATTTGGTAATGGGTTACCTTATCGTCTTGGTCTTTTGTCAGCGAGTTGAATCATGTAATCAAGAGCCATCATAAACCCTGAACTCCATTTCATCAACCCTTTTCCCTATAACTCCTTGTGCAGCCAATTCCACAGCAACATTTTCAGATGCTTCATTCATCTTCATATCAGAACTACATATATTCATTCAAAATTTTATGGTAACAAGCAAACACATTTTGTAGCATACAGTACAATTAATGAAGCCATTGGAAAACCGATATAAATTTATGTTCAGAAGTCAGAACATGTAGACATATTCATAAAATTAGAGTATCTTATGTGAACATGTCGGAAAGATTGGAATGGGCATGTGTGAATCTAGGTTTCAAACATGTCATGTCACCAGTGTAGTTCTTTCGTGTGTTTCAGTTTCGTTGAGGTGGTTATTTTGGGGAGACTGGTCGAGTTGCATAGATTTCGGTGAAACCTCGATGGCGCCCATCGTTGAGATAGTCGGCCATCAAATGAGTACCAGAGCCGGTAAGCGGTTTTGACAATGAGTAAATTACCTGAGTTTATTATTGTTTCAATCACTCAATAAGATTCAAAGATCAAAAGAAACACAACTCTTATTAGCTTGAGAAACTGACTCAAAACTCAAACTCTCACAATGTTAATCTCTAAATCTCACACAATATGCAAACATACTCGCACATCTTATATAAAGAGATAACCTCACATAACCGACTTAATAGGACTTTGTTTAGATAACTACAAANTCACAATGTTAATCTCTAAATCTCACACAATATGCAAACATACTCGCACATCTTATATAAAGAGATAACCTCACATAACCGACTTAATAGGACTTTGTTTAGATAACTACAAACTCAAGTCTATCTCCTGATTAGGATAGTCTTTAGCTTGCTTGGTATCCACGCTATCTTTACTCACTTTAAGATTATCTTCAACATT